GAACAGACAATAAGATTTCACCGGTATTCAGTTAAGAAAAACAAAAACCAGCTATATTGGCTTTATAGAAACCCTAGCCACGTAGAGTTTAGCTATAAATCTAATATGGAACCCCGTAACGAATCAAACCTTCCGTGTTTGTTTCCTTCATTACCAAAGGACATTGTTTTGAGTATCTTGGCTCGCATCTCGAGGTCGTACTACCCAAAACTCTCTCGTGTCTCCCAGAGCTTCCGCTCGCTCATCTTCTCCGAGGAGCTCGATATGGTGCGATCCCAACTTGGAAACCGAGAGGAATGTGTTTATGTCTGCCTACAATCGCGCAACAATCTTTGTGATCATAGATGGTTTAGTCTCTGGATAAAACCCGATGGTGATCACCAAACCCTAGTCCATTGCACGATCCAAGACAAACGTACCGAGAATTGGTTGGTACCAATGCCCTCTTCATATTCTCCTCGCTTACCAACAGTCCACGAAACTGTTGGCTCAGAAACCTACGAAATAGGCGGACAAAATATGCCCTCATCGAACATCTGGGTGTATAATGAGCTGACTGGCAAACGGCACAAAGCCCCTCGCATGATGGTGGCTCGTAAGAATGCACTTACGTGCTCCGTCGATGGTAAACTATATGTAATGGGAGGGTGTGAAGCCAATGAATCTACGTATTGGGCTGAGGTTTTTGATCCAAAGACTCAAACTTGGGAACCTTTACCAGATCCTGGGGTTGGCCTCCGGTTCTCTTCGGTTAAAAAGATCGAAGCCCACCGAGGAAAAATCTACATAAGGAGCAAGAAGAAGAGTTTTGTTTACCTTACAAAAGAAAGGAAGTGGGAAGTAGTTGAGGCAAACTTGGGTGAGAGTATGTGTGAGATAGAGAATGTATGGTACTGCTATGACAAGAGTAAATGCTTGTGGTACGACACAAAATGGGAAGTGTGGAGATTAGTCAAAGGTTTGAGTGGATTTGACGGGCATTATACAAGTGATACAGAAATATGTAACTATGGTGGGAAACTCGTAAGTGTTTGGATCAATCCTGTGAGGAATCCTCTTATTGAAAACCACGAAATATGGTGTACTGTGATATCGCCTGAAAGGCGCAACAATGGTGAAATTTGGGGTCAGATTGAATGGGCTGATGTTGTACTTACAGTCCCTAAGTCGTATACACTTTTGCGTTGTATAGTCCCATTACAATGACCAGCAAAAGTTCGTATATGTTTTTTGCCGGGTCATAGGGGCTATTTATAAGAATACTATGATATGCTGGGTTTTTTTTTTTTTTTTGGTGCTCTTTAACATGGTTGGATTCTCTTTCTTTTATGATAATTCACATACATAGTTGTATGTGTTTTTTTTAATTATCTTTTCACGGTTTAGAGTTTATTCTTACTTTCTTATATAGTATTTATATATTGATACTATAGTTTTTTTTTTGTCACATTCTCATTCCTTTTCTTTATCAGCATAGCCAGTATATGATCAATCAGATTCGTTTGTTAGCACTTGTAGAGCCTCTAAAATACTAACACTAGTTCTGTAGTTAGATTAATCAACTAAACAACCCGAAATCGCACACATGCATACATGGAAAATAAAATCAAAAAAGTAGTTGTTGTTATACACACACTAAAGGTTCCAATACATTATCTATTTTGTTATGGAGAGGATTTTTGTTTACCTTATCCACCCAGTTTAGGGACTCTAGATCGCAATAAATATTCATTATATTAAACCTATATATGCAAATAAATCACTCCACAAACATTTATCTAAGCAGGTAACTTGATTAAGGAGCTGATTTTAAACCATAGAAATATATGGGCCATAGAAAAGCCCATAAAACAGATGTTTCTAATTTACGGCCCATATAGGCCCGAAATTGAAGCAACCGCTAAAACGGCACACATTCCTTTTTAGCCTTTTCCCTATAAATCTCACAAATTCGATCTAACACAAAAGTTTTAAGCAATATTTCAAATTTGCAAAGCGAAGAACCCTAATCGGCTAAATTCCTCTTCTTCTTCTCCCAAAAATCTTCTCACTAATTTCTTCTTCTGAAGAATCGAATCATGGATACTGAGAATTCGCAATGTTTATTATCATCATCATCTTCTTTACCTCAACAGCAAAATCAAGTCGAATCGTACATAGGAAACTACGTCACTCTGATTTCTAACTGCGATTTACGTTACGATGGTCTTCTCGGTTACGTCAATCTTCAAGACTGGATTCTAGTTCTCCAAAACGGTACCGTTTTCGAAACCCTTTTCTTGAATTTGTTCTTTTTCTGTTTCCACGTTTCTTGTTGCACAATCTTTCGATGAATTCAGAGTAAAA